GTAGCATGTCATTGCAGCATGGCTTTGCCTGCAGCATTGGACTTACAGAATGAAATGGGACCAAGTTCAAATGTGTTTTCTATACCAGCTTGTGCCTGTCACGTGAGCAGGTGTTTGTAATTAAGGTAATTGTGTGACAATACGAAGTTTGAAGAGATTTTTTGTTAAAGTTGCTTTAGTTAGGTTTTGAACCCGGATCTCCCACATGAAAGTCCATATTATAGACCATTAGACCAATGGAGCTGTGGCAAAAGGTGGTGTCAGGCGTTGGTTTGTATCTGTGCAGAAAGAGGCCACATTGCCAATATAATTATTGACACTAAACTACATAATATTACAACAATAGAGCAGTATTAAGACAATTTTGTAGTAAAGCATGAGAATAAAATCACATTATTATTGTAAACACTGAACCATTGAGTGTAATGGTGTGACAATATAATCTGAAAATATGTGGTTTAAATGAAAGTGTTTGTTCATAGCTGGGATTGAACCCTGATCCATCCATCCATCCATCCATTTTCTGTACACGCTTCTTCCTTTTCAGGGTTGCGTGGGTCACTGGTGCCCATATCCAGCAGTCACAGTGCGATGGGCGGGGTACACCCTGGACAGGTCGCAAGTCCATCACAGGGAACCCTGATCTCCCAAATGAAAGCCCATGGCATAGACCATTACAGCTGTGGCAGAGTATGGTGCCAGAGGTTGGTTTGTATATGTGCAGAAAGAGGCCACATTGCCAATACAATTATTGACACTAAACTTCATCATATGACAACAATAGAGCTGCATTAAGACAAATCTATAGTAAAACATGAAAGTACAATTATATTAGTAGTGTAAACACTGAACCATTGAGGGAAAATATTAAAAAAACTATGGTGCAGTTCCAAGTTGAGTACAGTTGGGGGCAGTATTAGAACATTACAAGGCCCCATTGACTCCCATTATATGAATTTGGAATAAAGTTTAAACATTAATATTTCAAAAAATTACAAGTTGTACAGGTACCAAAAGGCATAGCAATCATTTGGCACAGGACCTTTACAGATAGAAATTACAATGGCAGCTGTAGGACAAAGTATGCAGGAAGAGTAGCTCAGAGATTTTTTGTTAAAGTTGCATTAGCTGGGTTTTGAACCCTGATCTCCTGCATGAAAGCCAAAAGTGCTCATCATGAGACTATAGGAGATGTGGCAAATGACAATCCCAGGGATTAGATTGTATGTATACAGAAAGAGTGTACCTTGCCAATGCAATTATTGACACTTAACTACAATATAGTACAACAATAGAGCAGCGTTGACTTTATTATAGTAAAACATTCAAGTACAATCATATTAGTATTGTAAACACTGAACTATTGAGATTAAATATTATTAAAGTATGAAGCAGTACCAAGTTGTGTATGGCTGGGGGCAGTATTGGACCATTACAAGGCCCCATTGATTCCCATTATATGAATTTGGAATAAAGTTTAAACA